TTTTTTTTTTTTTTTTTTTTTTTTTTTTTTTTTTTTTTTTTTTTTTTTTTAATTATTAAATTTTCAAATAATAAAGAAATTAATTAATTTAATTTACACCATATCCACTTGCCACCTAAAACCGACGTGTTCTTTGAATTAATTGTTTTGAGTTTAATTTTACCTTTTAAAAAATTAATTCACTAATATGTCTTAATTGCCCTAAAGTCCATTAATTTAAATGGTTATAAAATGGGACAGCCATGCATTATTATTTACGTGACAGTGTCTCATTAATATATTAATGTTTATAAAAACATTGGAAACAAATAAATGTGGACGAGCAATGCTAGAAGCAAAACTAAAATTGAAAGTCCGTGGTCTCGAAGATTTTACATAAAATTATTATTTTTCTTCATAAATTAGGCAAAAAAAAAATTTTAAAAATGAGTTTATATTAGTTATGAGACATAAAATTAAAATTGTTCTATAAAAAATTACAAACTTACCCTCTAAGAAAACTGTTTTATAAAAATTAGTCAAATATAAAATTAAATAATCACAAATTTCAAGGATAAAAATTAAAAAATAATAATAATTTGAAAATAAGGTATTACATTCTTTTTTGGTGTGTGAACCAAATTATTTAAATTGATATTATTTGATTTTTTTTCCGTATTTAATAGAAACTTACAATTATGCCCCAAGTTTAATAAATGTGTCCAAATTGGATTGATTCAACAATATATATCACATCAAAGAAAATTTATTCTGCTTTTTCCTTTAAAAGAAATTAAGTCTGAATTTTTCTTCCATCATCAATGAGAAATAACCACCAAATTTATTTTGATAGCTATGTCGATTTGAAATTACCTTATTACCCCCTTACATTGCCACCAATTGTTTCATTTTCAAACAATTAACATCATGCTTTCATTGATTATTTATGAATGGATAGCTAATGTTATAAGCTCTATTATATATTTTTTTAATTATTTTTATTCATGGAATTTTTTTTTTATAATATTCGTGTTTAAAAATACTATAAAAAATTACATAGAAGTTTAATTGAATTATTAAAAAAAATTATAATTATTATCTACTAGTTATTTATTTAATCGGTAAACAATTTATTATATATAAAATTGAAAATTTAAGTATAGTTACTTTCAAAAAAAATTATTAAATGTTTATAAATATTTGTATACAATTAAAAAAAATAAAAAGTCAACTCAAGCCTAGCCTAATCAAAGTAGATAGTCGAATATACCCCTGGAAATAATTTAACTGAAAAACGAAAAATAAGAAATAGGAAATGAAGCGTTATTAAATGGATAGGACTGATTCGACGTCGTATGAGCCAGAGGAGGTGAGGTTTCAGAATAGTACTTGGTAGTCGCCGTCCAAAACGACGAGGCAAGAGCTACAAAACGCGCAACTCTCGGGTCAATACACGTGGCGTGTTTTTATAAAAATCATAAAAGTCTTAAGGTTTTTCGTTGCCGTCGTTTATCCTCTGAACGGCGCCGTATTGTTTTGCCTATAAAAAGCAATGCATAGCCTCGTTGCACCATTATCCTAGAAACGGAAAAATAGTACACAAAATCAGAGCCCGAAACTGATTCGTCTTTCAGATCCAGAGATCGAAAAATGCCGAGAAAAGGAATGAGGAGTCTCCTTTTCCAGTTCTCGTCGCCGTCGAATTCCATTTCTAGGTATTCGATCTCGTCCCCGTCGAGATCTCCGGCCTTGACTCCTCGGCGGAGCTTCAACGATGCGATGATCGAACAGAGCATCGAATCTGCGGCGGCGATTGTGATGAAATGGAATCCGGATTCTTCAACTTATGCTAAAGTTACTTCGATGTTTTATGAAGACAGAAACGAAGCCATGCAGTTCATTAAGCGCGTGAATGATCTTCAAAAAGCGATGCATCTGATGGTTTCGGAAGATTCCGGTTTCGCTTCCGATAGGCTTGTTTACGCTCAAGGTTTGATGGAAATCGCAATGAAAAGGCTTCAGAAGGAGTTTTATCAGATTCTCTCCATGAACCGCGCTCATCTCGATCCGGAATCTGTTTCGGCTCGATCCTCCCGCTGCTCCACTAGATCGAGCACTTCCGCCGATTTCGACGATGACGGAACCCTAGACGATGAAGTCCAAGTCGTAGGCGATTCGATCGCTGAGGTTGAGCAAGTTTCGTCCATCGTTATGGAGGATTTACGAACCATAGCTGAGTGCATGATCTCATCTGGATACGCTAAAGAGTGCGTTAATATGTACAAAGTGATTCGAAAATCGATTATCGATGAGGGTGTGTACCGCCTCGGTCTTGAGAAATTGAGCCCTTCGCGAATCAACAAGATGGATTGGGAGGTGCTTGATCTTAAAATCAAGAACTGGTTGGATGCAATTAAACTCGCAATTAGAACGCTGTTCGTTGGCGAACGAATTCTCTGCGACAACGTTTTTTCCTCGTCTGAATCGATTAGAGAATCCTGTTTTGCTGATATATCCAGAGAAGGCGCTCTGCTTCTGTTTGGATTCCCTGAACTTGTAGCTAAGAGTAAAAAATCTCCGGAGAAAATGTTCCGTGTTCTTGATATGTACTCATCAATCGCCGAAAATTGGCCGGAGATCGAATCGATTTTCTCGTCTGAGTCCTCATCTGTAGTTCGATCTCAAGCTCTGACCTCACTCGCGAAGCTTGGCGAGTTAGTCCGTGCCATAGTAATGGATCTCGAATTCTCAATTCAGAAGAATTCATCCAAATCGCCGGTCGCTGGCGGAGGTGTTCATTCTTTAACGCTTCTCTCAATGAACTACCTCACTTTCCTCGCCGATTACGGCAACGTTTTGACGGATATTTTCGTCGATTGGATTCCGCAAGACAAGTCCTCTCTGGAACAAATTTTCTTCGGCAGTTCAGACTCCGACGATTCTCCAACGGCTTCTGCAATCTCTTTGCGAATGGGATGGTTAATTCTAGTCCTACTCTGCAAACTCGACAGCAAAGCGAAACGATACAAAGACGTTTCACTCTCGTATCTATTCCTCGCTAACAATCTTCAACACATCGTCTCTAAAGTCCGATCGTCGAATCTTCATTACCTTCTCGGCGACGAGTGGATCGCGAAGCACGAGGCCAAAGTAAGGCAATTTGCAGCCAAATACGAGGCATTGGCTTGGGGCAGAGTCTTTGATTCCTTGCCGGAGAATCCAACCGAGAAATTTTCACAAGAGGAAGTCAAAGAAATCTTCAGGAACTTCAATATGGCATTCCAAGAAACTCATCGGAAACAGAAATCCTGCTTCATTCCTGATCCAAAGCTTCGAGACGAAGTTAAACTATCAATCGGTAGGAAGCTCGTTTCGTTCTATGGAGAATTTTACAGAGCGCAGAAAGCTTACGCCGGTGCTATTGAAAAGCCGTACATCAGATTCTCCCCGGAAGATATCGGTAACTACCTCTCAGATCTCTATTTTGAACCGTCAGATTGGGCGAGCGTTTCCACCTCGTCGCCGTCGTCCACCTCCTCCTCTCACCGGCGGGAACCGGGCCCCCGTTAATCGGCCCATCCGCTGAGAATTGCCGCGTTTTTTTAATCTTTTCTTTAACTTTTCACCCTTTGTGTTTCCCGAATTTTGGATATGCCTGTGAAAGCTGCAACGGTAAATAATACGGATTTAGTACGTTTTGACATTTTGATCATAAAGTTTGAATAAATTGGTCACGCAAGACTTTTTGTATTCCATCTCTTTCGGCTTTTGTATGCAACTACTTTTTTCATCCGCCTTCAGAGTTCAGACGCACATAATTTCTTTCCGTTAAATATATGGTCCCTAACCTCTAATGTGTTTTTCGTCTGGTCCGCAATTTCAATTTTGATGTATTTAAATTACTTATTTTTTTTTAATGTTTTAATTTAATAAAAGAATTTAAATATATTGTTTTTTCATCTAGAGAATTTCAAAACTATCATATGGTATTTTTTATTTTGATTATAGATCATCAATCTTTATTTATTAAAATATTACAAAATTAACAACTAAGAAAGTGATTGCAAACATAATAATAAAAAATAAGTTTAGACATAGTTGGACCCAATTCAATTCTCACCTCTACCTCTTTATTATTTACTGACACACTATTAATTTTAAAAAACAATAATAAATTTATGGCCTAAGATAAAATTAATTCTATTATTTCAACCTTTTAAATTTATTAACGGATAAATTTTTTGAACATTCATTATTTTTAAAAAAAATTGAAGCGCTAATCCCTCCTCTATATTTATTAAGCTACAAGAATTACAATTTGTACGAATTATAAGAATTCTAAACGTCTTTGATACATCGACAATAAATAACATTATTTATAAATATAATAAATCCTAATATCAGAAAGACATATTGGTGTAACATGATCAATCATCACATTTATTGGAAAATACAAATTTAAATTAATTACAAGTTAAAGATAGGTAAAAATAAAAAAATAAAAAAATAAAAAAAGAAATTTAAGACGTGTATATATATAAGTCAAAGCTTGTGAAAGTCAAAGTGAAATATTAAAAATACAAGTGGGAAGGAGAATTCCCGTACGGCTCCGGGTGTTTTGCGGAACGATGAATATTTTGGATAACGACAGCTCCAAAAGATAACGCCTTGCCTGTCGTTTCCCCAAGACATCCAAGTCCGTACACCCCGATATCGCCCCATTGCCCCTACTTCCATCCAGCTAAGAATATAATATATTAAATTAATATATATATATCTCCAATTTTAATTATCCTCTAAAATGATTTTCAATCTGTTGCAAATAATATCTTTGATACTATTTTTTTCCCTTTTCTTAACTTAAATAAATGGTGGAAACTTAAAAAATTAATGCCAAATAAATTTGGTAATTATATAAATATTCACAATACAAAAACATCATTTTCACATGACTCTTTTATTTTTTTTATTTAATAATATTTAAAAATACAATTTTACTGAATAATATTTTATTCCATTTAATTTCAAAAACTAATTATTAGTACAAGTTGGAAATTATGCTTATGATATTGACTAATAAATATAAAACAAATTAAAATATTGTTTCATATCATCATTTTCTTAATAAAAAAAATACTTATTTCAAACTTTTACGGCACTCTAATATTTTTACATTATTAATAAAAAAAAAGGGAATATTATATATATATATATTTTTTAAAAAGAGAGCAAAAAGGCGAAGGAGAATAAAATAAAATTGTACTATAATTCCCTTTTTAGTTTCTTTAGCAAGAAAAAGTTTTGCAAAATAGGAATAAAGTGGACTTTGTAGGACTCCACAAATAAATATCTTAGAAACATAATTATGAGTTCCTTTTAATTTTTATTTTTATTTATTTTTTGCACTTCCACACTTCAATTATTAATTAATTATTATTAATAATCCCCCTTCGTATTTTCAAATTTAGTTAAAAATATAATTAGACAAAGAAAAAAAAACTTAGGTGCAGATCCCAATTTTTTATAAGAGTGTGAAAACTTTTTCCTAATAAACGTGTTTTTTAAAATCAAGGGAAACCCGCGAGAGAAAGCCAAAGAGAACAATGTTTGTTAGCTGTGGGGTTAGACGGTTCCATATGCAAATTATGTAAGCTCTCAAAAGATATTTTATTTACGTGCCAACACGAGCACATGGACCTTTTGGATCTGTTCCATGTTCATTTGAATACGAGCTAATATTGAACTATATAAACACAAAGGAAAAAACAAAAGAATAATGGGGAAAAGTGGTAGGGAAAAGGGGCAAAAGGGGCAAAAAAGGGAAGAAAGTATCTCTCCTTCAAGTCTTTGTTAGTCGAAAAGATGATGATGACGACGACGACGATGATGAACAAGGAAATATCTTGAGGCTTCTCATTTGTCAATTTCTCTCAATCATTAATATAGCTTTGCCTTGGTTTCTTAGAGCAATTTTCACATGCTTAGCTTTATCAATGGCCCCATTGGCTCATGGGACACCCAATTCCTTCTTTATCTTCAAAATTATCAAAAGGGTTTGTCAAAAACATTGGATTCAATCCGAGTTTTAACTCGAATTTGTTCGAGGTTCTTCAAGAAACGAGAAAGATCGAGAGATCCTTCCATGATTCGTTCTTGTTTTCTGAGCCTAAAGAACTTGAACTAACTTAAGTAATGATTCCAAATGAACCAATAAGAACTCTATATAGTTCTTCAAAACTTGATGCTTCTTAACACAGGTTGTAATACCCTCATGGTATGTTTCTTGGCATCCAACACGAAGTTCTTACGCCATTCTAAGCGTTCTGTTCTTACCAACGATCTTAATCTCATGGCTGTTTTGATTTTACAATTTGTTTCAAGTCCTTACATGTAGGAACATCCTGCTAATGAACCCGATAAGATTCCTCTCGTGTTCTTTCCTACGTTCTATGTAGAATCTAGATTAAACGAGAGACGGATGAACAAGGCACCCAGCTAAGAAGGTTTTGAAATCAGAACTGAATCAAATGGGTGAAGGCAAATACAGATGATCATGATCATAGATTGATAAGTACATTGCAGCAACCATTCTTTGAATCTACATTACAAAGAATAGAGAGAATAAGAGCTCAGTTCATCGGTGTTCATGACAAACAACATCAGCCAAAGAAGATGTCAATGAATACAGTAACTGAACAAAATAGTACTGACTGACAGGACTAAAGAGCTTTTACTTACAGCAATTGCTAGCTATAAAACAACATCATTACATCCAGAAAACAAACTAGATAGTTCCAAGCTTTAATCCTTCGCGTAGTTCTTTCTCTCTTGCCTTTAAATTCTCATTGCCATCAGTTTGTGATTCTTGCAGAGCAGAGAAGAGCAGTTCTTCAGCATTGATTTGGGTTTTCCTTGAGTGAAATTATAAAAAATGAGAATGCTTACAGTGAGCTATAGCTCCTTCAATGGAACGTGCCATCTCCGAGCTTGCGCTGTTGCATCTCTTAAGAACTTGTGGATCAAACATCCCGTTTGACGAGCACAAAGAGGAAGAAGACGATAACGAGGAAGAACCGGAGGAAGATACGGAGGATGGACAGGAAGGTTTACTTGCAGAGAATGAGGCTCTCCTCTGTCTTCTAACTCTGTCTTTGTCAACTAATGTAGCTGTAACATGGTCTCTTTTAGAGCCGAATTCTTTTCTTTTCGGCCTATTTTCCGCTAGTTTTGCGCAGGACTCGTCTGTACAGGCAGACTTATTGAAGAGGGACCGGATGTATGCTCGCGAGGCCTTGAGCGTACGAAACAAAGAGGACTGCCTATTCTGTTTAAGCTCTTGGCAGCTTCCCATTTCAGCATTCGTCCAATGGTCAACGGGTATTAGCTCGAAACTGAACCTGCACGACTCGGCAGGCGAAAAATTAAAGGACTTATGAGGGGTATAAATACTTGCATTAGCAGAGGACACGGAGGAGGTCGAGATGAAGGAGATTTGGAAGTTTTCTTCAAAGCAAGGTTCGGTTTCATGGTGAGCGTTGGAGTTTTGAATGAGTTTTTGGACCATTTGAATTCGAGGTGGGAGATGAAGGGGAAGAAGCTTTCCCTTGTAGAAAAGGTCGTCGGCCGGGGAAATGGCAGTTTCTCTTCCAAGTGAAACCGCATTCATTTGGAACTCGAACTCTCTCGGTTGAGGCGGAGAGTTCAGAGAATAACGGAAATTGGAAGAGGAACTTATATCCATTTCTATGTAATCCTCTGTGTAGGTACAAGAGAATTGTCCAATGGCCATCTCTTCCTTTGCTTCCTTTCTTCACCAAACTTACAAGGGAAAAGTGTGGAGGAAGTGATGCTCTTTGGAATGAAGATGGTCTGAATTTATAGTGATAACCATTCAGTGTCTCAAGATACTGAACCTTAGATATTTTGAATACTTCCAAGACGAGGATCGTGATGCTTATATAACATGTGAGAGGAGGAAGAAATAGAGAGAGAATTCGACAGCGAGCGAAGCGGAGGACCATTTGACATGAGTATGGTCCATCAAACTCATCTCATTGCTCAAATCTATGATTGAATTAAGGACGTCTGTAAAGATGAAAAGCTGTTTGTAAATTAGAATAGATAGCACAGACTGCAGAACTACACAAGATATGGACGTCTATGGAAGGTTTGAGCAGTAACTGAAAGATGGCTCAATCAGATGGGAAGATGTTCAAGTTTAGAAACCTGTTTGATCTAGAAGTCCAACAAGAAAAACGTCTAACACACGACGAACGAGCACATAGATCGTTGTGAAATCTTTTGCATCCTATTTCACGAGTGTTTTAAGGCAATAATGGTGAAGTTCCTCTCATTTTTTATCAGTGTATGTCATCAGATGTAAATCCTATTTGGTCTGTGTACCATATTTTTTCATTCCCTTCACCTAAGATCTAACTTTTGGGAGTTTTGAACTGAGTTGGTTCGAAAAAAGGGAATGGATAGGATAAGTGTGAGATCCCACGTCGGTTGGGGGAGGAGAACGGAGCATTCTTTATAAGGGTGTGGAAATCTCTCTCTGGTGGACGCGTTTAGAAAAACCTTGAGAAGAAGCCTGAAAGGGAAAGCTCAAATAGGACAATGTCTGATAGCAGTGAGCTTGGGCTGTTATAAATGGTATCAGAGCCAGACACTGAGCAATGTGTCAGTGAGAAGGTTGAGCCCCGAAGGGCGATAGGCCAGTGAGGAGGCTGAGCCTCGAAGGAGGTGGGCACGAGGCGGTGTGCCAGCAAGGACGTTGGGCCCAAAGTGAGGTGGATTGAGGGGTCCCACATCGGTTGGGGAGGAGAATGGAACATTCTTTATAAGAGTGTGAAAACCTCTCTCTAGCAGACGTGCTTAAAAAAACTGAGGGGAAGCCCGAAAGGAAAAGCCCAAAGAGGACAATATCTGATAGCGGTGGACTTGGGCTGTTACAAATGGTATTAGAGCCAAAACACCAGGTGCCAGCGAGAAGGCTGAGCCTCGAAGGGCGATGTGTCAGTAAGGACGCTGAGTCCCAAAGGGGGTGAATTGGGGGGTCCCACATCGATTGGAGAAGGGAACGAGTGACAACGAGGATGCTGGGCTCCGAATGGGGGTGGAATTGTGAGATCCCACATCAGTTGGGTCGGGGAACGAAGCATTCTGTATAAGGGTGTGGAAACCTCTCCCTAACAAACGCGTTTTCAAAAACCTTGAAGGGAACCCTGAAAGGGAAAGCTAAAAAAGGACAATATCTGATAACGGTGGGTTTGGGCTGTTACAAATGGTATCAGAGCTAGACACCATGCAATGTGCCTGCGAGAAAGCTGAGCCCCGAAGGGGGTGGATTGGGAGGTCCCACATCGATTGGAGAAGAGAAGAGTGCCAACGAAGATGCTGGCCCCGAAGAGAGGTGGATTGTGAGATCCCACATCGATTGAGGACGAGAACGAAAGCATTCTTTATATAAGGGTGTGAAAACTTCTCCCTAACATACGTGTTTTAAAAAACCTTGAGGGGAACCCCAAAGAGGACAATATCTGCTAGCGGTGAGCTTGGACAGTTATAGTAAAAAAAATTTCCTTCGATCCGAGTCCCCACTCAACCTTAAAAGGCAAAAGGACAAAAGTTAAACACTTCCCGGAAAAGATATGTTCAAAAGAGAAAAGGAGAAAAGGGTGAGGAAAATTGGAGGTAGAGATTGAGACATAAGAAGCAATGAGCAAAAGGTCTGGAAAAGAGGAAAAAATCCAAGGGAACACCAACTAATGACCTCTCTTATTCAACCAACTACTCTTGTCTGTTACTTGAATGATAAAAGAACACACGGCATGAGTATCTCCCACAACGTTAGGATGTTGACAATGTTGCTGTATTTAGCAGCAAATTCCAAAAGAAAGTAACAGCCCGCGTTAGCTTTTAAAACAGTGCTCGAAAAAAGAGAAAGTCGATAACGACTCGATATACTGCAAAACGGGAATGCTGTGTACTTTCATGGGCATTTCTGGATAAACTAAGGTATTCATACCAGATGTTTTCATGTGTACTATATTCTTTTTTCTCAGCATTATCTAACAACTCAAAATTTTATCAACTGTTCTTTTGCCAAACTGATAACAGGCAGTATGTCGATAAGACTTACTTCCAACTCAAAGAAAGTACGCTTCTTGCAGCCCCACTATGAGATCCCATATCGGTTGGAGAAAAGAACAAACATTCCTTATAAGGATGTGGAAACTTCTCCCTAGTAGACGCGTTTTAAAATTGTGAGGCTCACAACGATACACTAGGCGGTGTGCCAGCGAGGATGCTGGGCCCCCAGAGGGAGCGGATTGTGAGATCCCACGTCGATTGAAGAGGAGAATGAAACCTTTCTTATAAGGATGTAGAAACCTTTTCCTAATAGACACGTTTTAAAACCGTGAGATTGACGACAATACGTAACAGACCAAAGCGGACAATATCTATTAGTAGTGAGCTTAAGCTGTTACACCCACCGTCTTAAATCTAGAGAGAGATACGTTGGGGGTGAATTCAACTTTGTAAGAAGGGTCGAACTATAGGCCATGTTGTTTGATGGCTCTTCAAGAAGGAATTTTGATTCAGTTCACAATATGTGAGGTTGGAAGTCAAAACTCCCGACCTGGAACTCAACCATGATTCGCAGCCTTTTAAGGACTTAGAACACAAGACAATCATGGTTTGTTTGTAAACTAAATTAAAAGAAGAAAAAAAGTCGACACTAAATAAGTTCTTGTTAATTTCCTTGTAGATTAGTGAATCAAGTGGTGTAAAAAAGTTCTTAGATGCAGCTTGCATCGAGTGTCCATGTCAAACACGGATTCGTCCAGACAAACTTTTGGACAGATGTCCAACTTGCAAAAGAACATGTCTTGTCAAAAGAACATGTCTAACATTAAATTTTCCTACACATGACTTTGATAAAAATTGAAGTCTAACCCATCTAAACCCAATCTTAAATAAAAAAAAAAAACACAGCTCCTACGACAGTTTCTAAACATCTACAAGATTGTTGAGTAATGCAACTTCTCAACAATTACAGACCTTAGAAACTTTCTAAAACATGCCTCCGAGCCACGGGTTTGTGTCAAGAGACTGTTGGAGGAAATCATTTGGGATCCTCCATTTTTAGTGAAACCCGAGTTTGCTAGTAGGCCGACTTCATTATGTACTATGGCTTGGTTGGCTCGAAAGAAACGAGAGAAAAGTATTAAGGTCCATCCTTTTTAGGAGAATGCCAATCTTCTCCAGTTTGCTGACTTTAGTTTGTATTGTAAGTCTAAAAAGACATAGAAGGATGAGTGAAATTTGAAGCATTTTAAGGAAGTTTTAACTTTTTGATTACTAAAAGCTAGAAACATCATTATTAAACGAAACGAAGAAGCCAAAACATAACGAAAAGTGCAAGACAATAGAAGCATATAGAGCATCTCATCTCGTTTACGTCTACGTCTACGTGGAAATAAAAGCTACTTTTGATCTGTTTGAAACAAGGGGAAAAAGAAAAAAAGAAGAAGAAGAAGAAGAAGAAAATTTTATGCAACGGCTACCACTGATGTTAACAGATACTGGTTAATTATCTCCAACTAGACGAAGACATCGACAGTGTGTCGTGGATTTTCTCAGCAAATTTCCATTGATAATTACGAAGTTCATAGAACTAAAGGAGAAGGTTGGAGAATATGGTTTTGGAGAGGATAAGGATGTAACGAAGACTTTGGACGTTACGTAGTTTGGGTTAAGTGTATGATCTCATGAGTAAACTTCAACAGGACAGAGCCAGCAGCTGTCTCTTTCAGCTGAGTCTTTCAGCTGTGTCTTTCAATGTTATTTTTCTTCTCATTACTAGAAGCATCCATAGGCTTGTCTGCAACTTAAAAGCCAGCCCATATGCCTAAAGGAGGTTTGTTTAAGTCCCACATTTGATTGTGAGGGAGAGAGAGCTGCCATTTGGGGTGGTTCTAATTTGGTCCCTATGTTGGGAGCTAAATTGACAGAGCATTAAATTTCAAGTTGCCATGCAAGCAGGCAAAAGTTATGTTTTTTTTCTTTCTTTTTTCCTTTTTTGTTCGTGGGAGTCGGGTCGGGAAGGAGAACGAACATGACACCGTTTAGATTAAAGAACCTCAAATCATGATAAGCAAGAACATAAATTAATGAACTTAAGTGCATCTGAATGTAATATAACCAAAAAGGACGCAAAAGAAGACAAGATTAAGAGATAAAATTCAACTAACATCTTTACTTTTATTCCACACAGGAGCTTCGCTTGATCCATCCAAATAGCTACAGCTTCAAACAATGCTCCTGTGCCTCTGTGTCAAAATTACTTGAGGAAGAAAACAGTGAAAATGTGAAGAATTTCGTCTTTTTCGTACATCGAAACCGATCTTTTTCTCTGTGCAACGACTACAAATCAATCTCAGGCAATGGCACTTTCCAAAAATTCCACGCGTTATAATCCTCCTACATGGATGCAAAATGATAACGACAGTGTTAGCCTTAACGAAACCAGTATTCGGATATCTGTAAGTCGTATTTTCTCAGGCTGCTTGGACATGGCTTGAAGGATTCTACATTCATTACCTGCTCGACCAGCGAGGTTGGTGGAAACATATCGTTAACAAGCGTGTGCAAAGACGTGTAAGACTTCACGTCGATTCGATGACTAATGGCGACTTCTCCCTGGAAACAGATGCGAAGTTTGCAAAGTGAATGCCAAATTGGCTACTCGATAAAGTATGGCGAAAAGGGTTGATAAAAAATGGATACTTGGATACCTTGGGGTTGATTATGAATATCTTTCCTTTTGGAATCCCGACTTTTCGATAGCTGAGCTCATCTGTGTCTCTATTGCCAAACCCCGCATAAAACGGATTGTAGTCGGGAGGGAAAAGCTTCTTAATATCCTGTATTCGTTTATCGCCAGACGAAAAATAAGGAAAACATTCTACCCATCAGGATAATGATGAAGATCAGCTGCTCAATTTTGCATTTTTACCTCTAAACAGGCAATTTTGAATTCATGGGGTGCTCTTCTTATTACTGCCATAGACAAACGAAACCCAAAGTCAATTGTAATTTTGAATTCATGGACTCGGAATTTCTTAAACTTCGTCTACACTGACAGGCAACCTTCGCTAAGCTTCTTATGAAATGTTAGCTTACCGCTAGCGGATATTGTCCTCTTCGGACTTTCCCTTCTGGGCTTCCCCTCAAGGTTTTAAAATGTGTTTACTAGGAAGAGGTTTCCACGTCCTTATAACGAATGTTTCGTTTCCCTCTCCAACCAATGTGGGATCTCACAATTCACCCCCTTGAGGGCCCAGCGTCCTCGCTGCCACACCCCCCCGGTGTCGAGCTCTGATACTATTTATAATAGCTCAAGCCCACCGCTAGCAGATATTGTCCTCTTTGGGCTTTCCCTTTCGAGATTCCCCTCAAGGCTTTTAAAATACGTCTACTAGGGAGAGATTTTCACACCCCTATAAAGA